GATAGATAGATAGATAGATAGATAGATAGATAGATAGATAGATAGATAGGCAGGCAGGCAGGCAGGCAGGCAGGCAGGCAGGCAGGCAGGCAGGCAGACAGACAGACAGATAGATAGATAGATAGATAGATAGATAGATGATAGATAGGTAGATAGATAGATAGGTAGGTAGATAGATAGGTAGATAGATAGATAGATAGATGATAGATAGGTAGATAGATAGATAGATAGATAGATAGATAGATAGATGATGGATGATGATAGATAGATGATGAAGATAGATAATGAATAAATGATGAAGGTAGGTAGGTAGATGAATATAAATAGTGAGGGGGAGAAAGAGAGAGGGGGGGGAATTATTTATATATTTCTCTAGCAAATCTATCTATCAGGTATGCCATAGAAATGTGTAAAGAAGTGAATATAATTGGGTTGGAGAACAGAGAAAATTGAATAAGGATTTTTCCATTTCATTAAGGCAACATAAATTAATCTTCCAGGTTGAGAAAACCTTGGGCATTGAAGCTGCACGAACCACTATTATCAGTGAAATCCAATATACTATGGTAAACCACGGAATGAGCATTGATCGGAGGCATGTCATGCTGTTGTCAGACCTAATGACCTACAAGGTTTGGGGTGGTTTTTTCTTTCCATTATTTATACAATTACTCATTCTTTCCCTGCTCTCATCCTGAAAAAATATATAAAGGAAGAAAAAATGCTAAGAAAGGCTTGGCAATAATACCAGCGTGAGATTTGGGCAGGGGCCCTTCTCCTTTAGATCGGAGAAGGCTTTCTTTCCATTGACAACTGGTGTACTGCATGAGCCAGAAAGAGGGCTGAGAAAGTATCTACAGACCCCTCACATCCTGCACATAAACCAATTCAACTCCTTCCCCCTGGGATGGCACTATAGGGCATTGGCAACCAAAACCACTAGATACAAGGACAGTTTTCTGCTCTGCCATCACTCTGCTCCCCACAGCATTGTCTTGGGCCTAAAGGTATTTACCCATGTAATAAGCTGCACTGATAATAATCTTTCTCATCTTCTCATTGTTCCTAATACCTTTGCCTATTGGTATCTATGGTTTGTCCCTTGTTCTATCTGATGATTAATGATGGTAACTATGATCTATGATCTGTCACTTAGTTGTTTGCACGTACACCGAGAGCTTATGCACCAGAGGCAAATTCCAATCGCACTCGACCCATAAAGAATTATGTGCTATTCTATTTATATTTATCCTCCCATCTCTTGCGTTGTTTGTTGTATTCTGTATGTGCTTTACTGAAGACTTTGGTAGCTAATTTCACAGCAAGTCACGTCCTGTAATTGGTGGTAGGGGGGTGCTTTTTTAGTTTTTTTTTTTCAGAGAATGCGATTGTATTTATAATCCTTCTTTCAACCAGTGAGAAATCAAATAATCCCTGTTGGTTCTACCTGGTTTTCATCCCAATTTTTATGGATGGATGGATAGATGGATGGATGGATGGATGGATGGATGGATGGATGGATGGATAGATAGATAGATAGATAGATAGATAGATAGATAGATAGATAGATAGATAGATA